TTTTCATATGTTTTTACTATTTCTAGGCTATCTAAATTCTAAGCAAACCCTATTCAAAAGCTATTTAATCAACTGTTCCCTATTCGATTTTACTATGTAAACTCTATTTCAGTCCTATGTGAAGGCTATTTATTTTCTATGATTTTTCTATGAGGTTGACTATGAAGTCTAAAATCTCTTTCCACAAGCTAAGTAAACTCTATGTAAAGGCTATGTGGAAACTATGTCATTTCTTCCTTTATTCCTACCTTTAAAAACTGCATAGCTTTTAAGTAGGTTCCGTTTGACTAGCGAAAACATAGCATTTTCGATACAAAAAACATAGTCCTGGCATAGAAACAACATAGGATCTGGTTAAAGCAATGTATGACTGATTGACATAGGTTTTACATAGCTTTGTGACATAGCATTTGCATAGATTCTACATAGTGTCTGATTCTACAAGGGTAGACATAACATGTTATATAACATAACATAAACATAACATTTTATATAACATTTACATAACATAACATAACATGTTTATATAACATAACATAAACATAAAATGTTATATGACAAAACATAAACATAACATATTATATAACATAACATAACAACATAAACATAACATATTATATAACATAACAACATGTTATAAATTAACAACATAAACATAACATGTTACATAACATTAACATAACATAACATAACATGTTTATATAACATAACATAAACATAACATGTTATATAACAAAACACAAACATAACATGTTATATAACATAACATAAACATAACATGTTATATAACATAACATAACATATGAAATATTTGCTAGGAAATAGGATTTTTATGCTCCCTATCACTTCCTTCTTAATATTGTTGTATCGTTATTGTGAAAAGGCAGAAGTATTTTCCTTGTTATGTAATAGCAGCATTCACGTGGCAAGTGGCCAGCGGTATCCCATGTTGACCACACGTTCGCGCGATTCCGAGTGGATCAAGCACACTTGCCTCAAACTCGTGGACAAGTAAGCTGAAGCTTTTCAAGGTGAACTTTTGACTTTTATTATGGCCCTGTCAGTCCCCAACGTTCTTATTTTGGGGCATTCATTCGTTCGTAATTTTAAAGCTGACCTTGCTGCATGTTTTGACCCTCGTCCGTATTGTGTGCATTTGTCATGTCATCCCACGTGGGCCATCCTGTCGGTGTGGCGGTGCATCCTTTAACACGAAGGTTAAAACGCTGCATGAAGTTTTACCTACACTTGTTGAATCAATTCCGGGGTTGTTTTGTGGGTTTCACAAGGGGCTCACGAACCCTGTCAGGACAGTTCTTTTACCGGATGGCGTTCACTTAAATACTTTGGGCCAATATCTCCTTTATCGTAGCTATAGGGGAGCTATCCTCAAAGCCTTGTCTCTGCTTCATAATTCTACTATGCCATAGATGCCCCTTTCGCCAGGTTCTTTCTGTTGTTTCCATTAGTTTATTTACCAGCTTCGTTGATCATTTGTTTCCAAGGACCTAGCTCCCTGATTTTATTTTCGAGCCTTAAATCCTCTGGATTATTTTATTACAAGGGCTTAGATCCCTGATTTTATTATTGCGGCCTAAATCCTCTTGATTATTTTATTACAAGGGCTTTGGTCCCTGATTTTATTTTTGGAGGCTTAAATCCTCTTGTTTAATTTATTACTAACAAGGGCTTTAATCCCTGATTTTATTTTTGAGGCTTCGATCCTCTTGATTATTTTCTTACAAGGGCTTTGGTCCCTGATTTTATTTTGCGGCTCCCATCCTCTTGACTATTTTATTACCCGGGCTTTAATCCCTGATTTTAATTTTGAGGCTTAAATCCTCTTTATTATTTTATTACAAGGGCTTAAATCCTCTTGATTATTTTATTGCAAGGGCTTAAATCCCTGATTTTATTTTTGAGGCTTAAATCCTCTTGATTATTTTATTGCAAGGGCTTAAATCCCCGATTTTATTTTTCAGGCTTACATCCTCTTGATTATTTTATTGGAAGGGCTTAAATTCCTGATTTTATTTTTGAGGCTTAAATCCTCTTGATTATTTTATTGCAAGGGCTTAAATCAACTTGTTTATCTTATTGCAAGGGTTTAAATCCCTGATTTTATTTTTGAGGCTTAAATCCTCTTGTTTATTTTATTGAAAGGGCTTAAATCCCTGATTTTAATTTTGAGGCTTAAATCCTCTCGTTTATTTTATTGCAAGGGCTTAAGTCCCTGATTTTATTTTTGAGGCTTAAACCATCTTGATTATTTTCGTACAAGGGCTTTAATCCCTGATTTTATGTTTGAGGCTTAAATCCTATTATTATTTTCTTCCAACGGCTTTACTCCCTGATTTATTCTAGAACCTTCAATCCTCTTGATTATTCTATTACCAGAGCTTAACTCCCTGGGATAGGATACGTGCTGCCATTTCACTTTCTTTTTGCAGGATGCCACCTCGACGTTCTAATCGTGTGACAAAGGCTTACCCTCCTGAACCTGCTGTATTAACCCCTCCTGTTGCAAAGAGAAAAGTCTTCTCAGAAGGTGCCACCAAAAAGGAAGAAATCAAATCAACCTGATGACCAGCATGGGGTACCAAACCAACAGGGGGCCAGTTCTACCGCACCTATATTTTCCCCAGACCAATTTGACATCCTGGTCTCAAGGGTTAGCCTCGAGGTAAAAAAGGCCATCGTTACCCAGCCTTCATCCTCAGAGACAAGAGCTACACCAACAGTTGTGTCAGAACCTCCCTCATAACCCTTGCCTGTTGCTACTTCTGGTGAACAGCTTGATGAAAGTGTCATTGAGGAACCAATTGTACCATCTACGGGTGATACTTCGGCTAGGCAGCTTGTAGATACTGCTATTGGTGCACTGCATAGCTCAATGCAAGGTGAGCATCGTAAACCTAGCCAAATGTTTCATTCACTTGGTCTTAGTCTTGACGCGAGCATTCCTGAAAAAGTTAAGAGTAAGATCTTCAATAATGAATATATTGATTTTGGTGTTCTGATAAGCAACCATTTGGCTGGGGAAGATAAATACCAGTTTAGTATTGTTAATGGAAGGAGTGGCCAACCCTCTCTCTTTTTCGAGCCCTCTAATAAACCTAAGCGCATTGTAAACATTGAGGGTTGGATGTCTGCTTTCTGCATTTTTGTGACGGTGTATACCCGAAAATATCCTGCTGATGCACCAGCACTAATGAAGTATGGTGACGTAATTCAGGATTTGGCTTCTAGGTCACACAATTGGAAATTCTATGATGAGAACTTCCGTTTTATGAGACAGAGTCAGCCCGAGGCTTATCCCTGGGGAACAGTTCAATGGGAGTTGTGGCTTCGCTCTCAGGTGACCCCTCAGTCCTCTCAGTCCACGCCAGCCACCAGCCAGCCACAGGGTTCAAAGACACCCAAGTATAATACCATCCCCAAGGGTTATTGTTATTGTCTTCAGAGAGAGAAGGAGTGTTCAGGTTGCGCATACAAGCATGTGTGTTTCAAATGCAACGGAAATCACGGTGGGCTGCAATGCACTTTTCGTCCCTCAAAGAGACCAACCTCAGCCCCATCCCAAGCAAAGCCACAACCTTCCCACACCAATAAACGCTGATCGTCTAAGGAATTTTCTTGTTGGGTATACACTGTCTACAGTAGAGTTTTTGTATGCTGGGTTTACTAAGGCATTTCCCCTACACTTTGAAGGTGAATTCCTTTCTTTCGAGGCTGAGAACCAGTTAAGTGCTCGCGACCACCCAGATGTTGTTTTTTCTAAAATTAAAAAGGAAACAGAAGCTCTTCGCTTGGCGAGTCCATTTGAATCTCCACCTTTTACAGAATTTCGTGTATCCCCCCTAGGGGTAGTGCCTAAAAAAGTCCCGGGTGAGTTTAGGATCATCCACCACCTGTCCTTCCCTAGTGGTTCTTCAGTAAACGATGGCATCCTATCTGCAAATACATCTGTTCAGTACGCCACCATTGCAGATGCAATCAGCCTGATTAGACAATGTGGCAAAGGGTGTTTTTTGGCAAAAACTGACATCAAAGATGCCTTTCGCATCATTCCAATTCAACCATCCGACTACCCCTTATTGGGCATGAAGTGGACTGGACTTTACTACTACGACCGCTGCATGCCCATGGGCTGTTCCAGCTCATGCAAGATGTTTGAAACATTCAGTTCGGCTCTCGAGTTGTTAGCTAAAACAAAGCTCCAGATCTCTTCTATTCTTCACTTATTAGATGACTTCTTGATTGTTGCACCCACCGCAGAGCTTTGTAACAAACAATTACAACTCTTTTTGGATGTCTGTCAGTATCTGGGCGTCCCTATGGCGCCGGAAACGACTGTTGGCCCTTTGCCTATTCTTTCTTTTGCAGGAATTGAACTTCATACGCAGTTGCAATTAGCTTATTTACCTAAAGACAAGTAAGATAAATGTACTGACTTAATCTCCAATCTCCTCCGGTGTAAGAAGGTCACCTTGGTGGAGCTGCAGTCTAGGATAGGACTGTTGAACTTTGCGTGTTCTGTAATTATTCCTGGGAGAGCCTTTCTCTGGCGACTTATTGACCTTACCATAGGTGTTAAGGCAGCTCACCACAGAATTCGTCTCACTTCTCAAGAAAAGGAGGATTTGCGTGTCTAATTAGAATTTTTGAACAATTTCAATGGTAAATCATTTTTTCTGCATGACGAGTGGTTGAATTCTCATAAGTTACATTTGTACATTGATGCAGCGGGCTCGCTGGGTTTTGGGGCAATTTTTGGCAACCACTGGTGCTTTGGTCAGTGGCCCTCCAAATGGCAAGGGCGCAACATTGCCTTCCTGGAATTCTACCCTATTGTTCTAAGCTTGTACCTATGGGGTGAAGAGATGCACAACAACTGTATTTTGTTTTTCACCGATAATGATGCCCTAGTGCACGTCATTAACAAGCAGTCTTGCAAGGACAAACTGCTCATGTTCTGTGTCCAAAAATTAGTGGCTATTTGCCTTAAGCACAACATATTTTTTCGTGCTAAACATATACCTGGTGTTTTTAACACTTTAGCCGACAGTTTGTCTCGTTTGCAGGTTCACACTTTCAGGAAGCTTGCTCCAGCACAGATGGATCTACAGCCGACTGCAATTCCCCTTCATCTCCAGCCTCAAAGCTGGCAGGTATAATCGGAGATCTGCTTCAGTCCAGTCTACAGCCCTCTTCGCTGCCCACGTACAAAAGGGGGTGGTCGCTATTTTACCAGTTTCACGGCTCCATTTTCCCCAATAGTTCTTCTTCTTTCCCTGTTTCACCCTCTATTTTAGATCTGTTCATTGCATATTTATATGATAAACATTATGCCTTTTCTACTGTCAATATTTATGTGTCGGCTATAGGTTATTCGCATGAGCTTGCAGGGGCTGAAGACCCGACAAAGGTCTTCTTTATTTTACAGATGCTTAAAGGGTACAACAAGAAAGGTTTCCAGCTCGATAGCAGACTCCCTATCACGTTACCTATTCTGGAGCATATCATGTCTTCCGCCTTCAGAACCACGCTTTCACGTTATGAAGCATACCTTTTTCGGGCAATGTGTGGTATTGCATTTTTTGCCTTTTTGAAGGTTGGTGAGATGACTGTTAGTGGGAAACAGTCTTCTAATGCCCCCTTACAATTCCACCAAGTAACAAAGCTTCGAGATAATTCCTTTTATGTTAAGGGAATCAGAATTACCTTTGGGGATTACAAACATCATTATCAGGAGCGACCTTTCTCTGTCGTTGTGCATAGACAGTCCAATGGGGTCTGTCAATTTTCATGCCTTCTAGAATACCTTGAGCAATGTAACTATGCTGGGGGCCCCCTTTTTAGGCTTCACACTGATGAACCTGTCCCTAGAAATGCGTTTTCACGTTTTCTTTCATCTGCTATCAAGGAATGCGGTCTACACCCTGCCTTCTATAAAGGGCATAGCTTTCGGATCGGAGCTGCTTCCCATGCAGCAGCTTTAGGATATACTGATGCTCAAATTAGGCTACTTGGCCGCTGGAAATCGAATGCCTTCCATAAGTACATACGCATTAACAGTTTCTCAGCCTAACAAAGTGATCTGATGTATGTGTACCCTCGAGGGTTTAGTTTGTTACTTGAAGTCAAGTGACACTCTCTAGCAAGGGCAGGAGTGTACTAGGTTTAGCTGTTATTTTATTATTTTGACCACACTCTCTAGCAAGGGCAGGAGTGTTATTCATACCTCTGTGATACTATTTGCTTAGTTAGACCATATCTGCAGTCTCCAGCAAGGGCAGGAGTGTTATTCGGAGCTTTGAGTTATTATTTGTTTATTACTACCTTATCTGTACTCTCTAGCAAGGGCAGGAGTGTTATTCAGATCTTTAAGATATTATGCGATTATTTTGAGCATACATACACTCTCTAGCAAGGGCCGGAGTGTTTGTTATATCTTGAGTATATTTCTTTGTTTATTTAGACCATATCGGTTTAGTTTGTTACTTGAAGTCAAGTGACACTCTCTAACAAGGGCAGGAGTGTCTTAGGTTTAGCTGTTATTTTATTATTCTGACCACACTCTCTAGCAAGGGCAGGAGTGTTATTTATACCTCTGTGATACTATTTGCTTAGTTAGACCATATCTGCAGTCTCCAGCAAGGGCAGGAGTGGTATTCCGAGCTTTGAGTTATTATTTGTTTATTACTACCCTATCTGCACTCTCTAGCAAGGGCAGGAGTGTTATTCAGATCTTTAAGATATTATGTGATTGTTTTGAGCATACATGCACTCTCTAGCAAGGGCCGGAGTGTTTCTTATATCTTTGAGTATTCTTTGTTTATTTAGACCATATTCGCACTCTCTAGCAAGGGCTGGAGTGCTATTCAGATCTTTGAGATATTATTTGATTACTTAGAACATATATACACTCTCTAGCAAGGGCAGGAGTGTTTATTATATCTTTGAGATATTATTTGTTTATTGATACACTATCTGCTCTCTCTAGCAAGGGCAGGAGTGTTATCCAGATCTTTGTGATACTATTTGAATCTTTCGAGCATATATACACTCTCTATCAAGGGTAGGAGTGTTTGTTATATCTTTAAGTATTGTTTGTTTATTTAGACCTTAGTGTTTGGTATTGCATTTAATTTTATTCCTGGCCTTTTTACTGCTTTTGCCTGGGGTGGGGTTGCATCTGGTTCCCCCTAGATGCATTTGGCGTTTGTTGTGGCCCTCACCTTTACTGGGCCAAAGTTTCAACAAATTTGTAGCATTCTTAACAATTTTATGTTTTGGTAAATTGTCATTTTGATTGAACTTATTTCCTTAATAAACTGGCTTTGGGTTTTTACCCATAGTCCTTTACATTCAATCTTGGCTTGTTATCTGGTTATCTATCCAGCCCAGCAAACACAGCTCAGGCAAAGCAATTATATCGGCCTTTAAACCCTCTAAGGAAGTTATAGGAAGAGCATAAAACATGTTATAAAACATAACATTAACATAACATGTTATATAACGTTAACATAACATAACATGTTTATATAACATAACATAAACATAACATGTTACATAACATAGCATAACATGTTATAAAACATGACATAACATAACATGTTATAAAACATAACATAAACATAACATGTTATATAACATAACATAAAACGTTATATAACATAACCTAACATGTTATATAACATAAAAAAACAGAACATGTTATATAATATAACATGTTACATAAAAAACATAACATAACATAAACATAACATGCTATATAACATAACATAACATAACATGTTATATAGCATAACATGTTATATAACATAACATAACATGTTATATGACATAACGGAGAACTAACAAGCAGATAAAGAGAGCCAAAAGCATTGCACATACGGTCCTCATCTTGTATCTGAATTAACCAACATGCCCGCTTGTTCGTAAAGACTACTGGAATGTCTATGTCTATGTCGATCGATGAGGGAGACCAATTTGGGTGTGGCCCTGGTAGTACTCTCTTCTTCAGGGACAGACTGACCGGAGGAAATAAATTTTTAGGTCTGCTTTTTTATTGTCACCATAAAAAATCTGGCGGGCTTTGCAAATAGATAGAAATGACGCTGTTTCCTCAAAGCCATGTTAAAAGAGCTGCGTATCATGCTGGTCTGCAAATCAAAACAACAGCACACTTACTTTGGATAGAATTTTGTCACATGCTAGGCAACGGGAGTTGTTTACAAGGTCAAGTTTCACCGTCTGGGGTGAGCTAATGGGAATTAATCATTTTTAGGACTGCAATTCTCTATTTACATCCTTAAAAGTACTGAACACTTGACAAAGAGCTGGACAGGAAGATGATTGTGTCTTTGCTCGAAAACATATCAAAGCAGTCGTGAATGAAATCATCAATCTGCACGCTTACTTTGGAGTAGAATTAAGCTCACGTGCTAGGCAACGGGGAAATTGAAAGTTGCACCGTTGGCCATTTGTGGAACTCACAAAGATTGGCGGCATCGGCAGTAAGAAAACTATCCGTTTGTTTTGAGAGGTCCAAATAATGGACTGACGACAGTTTAACCAATAACGTACATCAGCCATAGAATTGTATGGTACTTAAGTGGGTATATAAAGTATATGATATGCAGAGCGAATTGTACCTTGCATTAATATGAAAAGAGGATTGAATTAATTCATTCTGTTTTTTTGTTTGATTGATTACTTGATTCATATTATTATCTGCACTTAATCTACAAGATTAACATGTCTTTTTATAACGTGGGTCAACAGTCTAATCAATCAATCCATCAATTCGTCTGCAGGATCAAACAAGTGACACAGTAGGTCAAGTGGCAGAAAGCACACCATCGTCCTTCCCCTACCTTGAACTACAGACTCCAGCAGCAAGTATCTACTCGCCAAACAAGGCAAATAAACAGGTCAAACGGGAGTGTAAACCACTCGAAATGCTAAACACCTTTCTAGAAACCCAACACATAAGTCCCGTGAGATTTCCTTTGACGACGCAATGGGAGGAGGCTAGTGAACGAACGAGGCGTCGTCACTTATGCAAAGCAAATCAAGCAGTTGACGCTGTACTAGAAGAAGTAGCACCAAATCAGAGTGGACAGCTTTGGAAATCACTTGTTGCATCCAAATCTTCCAATGAAAACCCTAGTGGTAACGAGCGTGAGCCTGTAGATGAAGTGCTTATGGAGGCGTTGGCTGAGTGCTACAGGAATGCAAGTAACTGGCAAACCAGGAGACAAATATTGTCTATAATGGCAGACAAGGTTTCATTCAAGACACTTAAGAAATAGATTCCCAATCTGACGAGGCATCAATTCCGTGAAGCAAGGAAGCATATCCTGGTCGAGGGTAGAGGTGTAGCACAATGACTGCAGTCATCCCAGACACGAATGGCGGTATCCCAAACTCAACTTGATCATTTTTTGGACTTTATAACGAGCACCCATGTCTTCCAGGATCTTCCCTTCGGGCAGAAATCAATAAAACTGTCAACAAAGGAAGTCATTACAGTAGTTAATGTTATTCGTATGATGGTGCCATAGTCCATTGTCGAGCAGTACTTGGCTTATTCAAGTGAAAGTGGCTTCACAACACTGAGCCGTACTATACTCTTGAGAATTCTCAATGTCTATTCTGCCTCTGTGAGAAAGTCTCTACAGGGTCTAGATTATATAAGTTGTGCTGGTAGTCAAGCCTTCGAGGATGTCCATGACGTAGTAAATAGATTGGGCGATTCATTTATGGGAATGACTTGGGCAAGGAAACAAAAGGAGCGGCTTAAGTCCGCAAAGCGTTATCTAAAGGGCGACTTTAAGGTAAACTTCAAAATAACTTTAGTCTGTGTATATAAGAAAAATCGCAATAACACGACTTCACAATTAACAAGCTGAAGCTGCGATTGTGCCAGTCACAGATACCAAAAATGTCTTTGAGTACCCAAGATTCTCTGGGGAACGAGCAGGAGAGGATTTTGGTGATGATTCAAGCAGCAATGTTTTTATGTGCATACTTTCACTTTAGCTTAATGCGATTTGCTGTTCCTACGCAGTTTCAATTTAGGAGAAATGTAAAAATAGCCTAGTGAAATAAAACGGTGCGCAGATCCAGTTGAGGTGATCGTTTGGTTAAAAAAAGTCGAGTTGCATTTTTTCTTAATGCTAATACTTCAATTGCGCCGAACCGGTTAAGGTGATTCCCTAGTATTAAAAAAAGAAGTGAACATAACACGCATGGATTTTCCATAAAACTTAGATCACTGTTGTAATAAGGTAAGAATACGTCTTAAAAAGTGGAAGTTACCCTGCTTATTTTAACTGCAACATGCTGACAAATATGAATATCTAGGCAAATGAACTGTGCGCATAACAAAAGTCAACAAGTAAGCACGCTTCTTTTCAATGAAGCTTGCGATAGTGCACAGAATTTTACTTTGTTCAACCTACGGCTAACAAAAAATGCCGTTGGAAAGACCAGTAAGGGGCACTTTGTTCGTTTTTAAGGTAGAGCTGCGAAAGGGCTCATCACCTGGATTCCTTCCGTCTTTAAGCGAGGACTGGGGCGAGCTTCAAAATGGCAATAACCTGGAAGGCGGATGAAAACCTTGGAAAAACTTTAATGGATTTCTTTTCTCTTGGATCGAATTCATTGGTATTGTAAGCTCTCTTTCACAGTGGTTGTCTTGTTATGCCAAGTGAGAGATGTCCAGCTGAGTGCAAAACCAGCGAGTCACCTTAACCATAACATTTGATCTAGGGTAAGTAATTTTGTTTATTAATGTCTTTACAGGTGCATGTTTCTAAGCAATCCAACATTCCGGATCATTGCAGAGCTTATGCACTGAGCGACCCTAGAGACAAGGATTATCAGATCATTTGCACACACGATCATCTAGAAACCTGTGATCGATGTTACCTACTTTCTTCAGTTCTTGCTGAAATACATGCAATCGAAAAGATGTCTGATAGCAACGTCTCTAGTGACGTGGTAGAAGAGGTGAACTTCATTGAAGGGCAAGCTAAGCAACACATCTGGGCTTGGAAAGCTCACCTACTCCACTGTGTGAATCAGGATGAAGCCCGAATAAAGGTGATTGATGCTGTCGATGAAAATTCCGTACTCTTGGTTCAGGACTGGGCCATGAAGTTCTTGCCAAGAAAGTTTAGAGAAAGCCAAGGTGATTGGTTTGCGAAGCGGGGTATGCCTTGGCACATTACTGAGCTACTCGACGAGTGGAAAACCATGAATTGGAGATGATAACATTTGTGCATGTTTACCAAACCTGCAACCAAGACGGCTGTGCGGTGCTTTCTGTTATGAAGGATGTTATTGGAAAGCTAAAGTTGCAGCTGCCTCATCTGAAAACTGTCTTCTACAGACAGGACAATGCCGGCTGTTACCGCTGTGGGGCTACGATAGTGGGGGCCAGCTTTACAGGCTGTGCTAGTAGGGTGACTGTGAAATACTTGGACTTTTCAGACGCACAGGGTGGTCAGGGCTCATGTGATAGAAAGGCGGCTTCAATTAAGTCGCACATGAAAATCCACCTTAATCAAGGGTCTAACATCGACACTGCCAAGGAAATGGTAGACGCTATCCAGTCATCGGGAGGTGTTCCTGGAGTTGACGTTTCATTATGCAACTCAGCGCAAGACCCAGCACCGTCCTTGAATGTAAAGATTGCAGGAGTGAGTTTGATTTCCAATATTGTATTCAACAACGGAAGCCTGCCCGTCTGGAGAGCATATGAAATAGGGCCTGGTAAGTGCATACGTCTCAAGGACATCGGTATTCCACAGTTGGTGCAGATTCCAAATCTCGTGAAATGTGATGAGGGTACAGCCACAACAATGCCGAATGCACACTTTATCAAAGTTAAATCCAGGCGTCAACCTTGTTCAGATAATTCCCAGCAATGCTCAGATACCAAAGAAGAGACTGTGACTGAGACCTCACCCACTGTTCATATATTTTCCTGTCCCGAGGAAGGATGCATGAAAGTTTATCAAAGATTTTCTTCTTTACAGCACCATCTGGACCTCGGAAAACACGAATGTGCTTTGGAACATGAAACACTCCTTGACAGAGCAGCGCTTGGTTATGCAGAGAGGCTACAGAGAAGCAGAGACTACTTATCCAGTAAACTTCGTATTGGTGAGTCAACCGGCCAGAAAGCAGATGCAGCCTCGGTATCCAAGTCAATGATAACTGCTGGAGACAGTAATGGAAACCGCCTTTTTAGCAGTTCTGAATTTCTGACGAGTCAGCAAGTTTCAAGTTTCTTTTCAAGACTGTCCTCAAAGCGCAAACTTGAAGATGACGAAATGATGGAAAGCGACTTTGAAGAAAACCAGAACGTTGAAAATGAGAAAGCCTTTGCCGAGTTGAGAAGTGAAGTTCTTCAAGAGGTTGCCCTTACTCATCCAATATGCTATGACAGGTATAACATCTGCAAACTAATTGCAAATTCAAAGCTATCAATCTTTGCGATTCAAATGCTTAAGTATATCTTTGAACACTTTGATATACCAATAACCGACATCAAAGTAAAGAGAAAAGCCCCTTACATTGACAAACTGGTCGCCTTTGGAAAAAACTGCACTTGTCATAAATAATTAGGATCGGTTTTGGTTAAAAAGGCATTGTAACAGCATTTGCGGGGGAAACCCGGAAGGCTTGCATATGAAGAAAGAAGCACGAACTTGACCTGGTATAGTGGCCATACATTCAGCGAGCAATGACCCAGTTGTGAGCAGTGAAAACTCGATTCAATCAAAGTGTTTTTGTTGTGGACAGTTTATATTTGTCTTTAATGGTACTGTGATATCGAAGACTTTGCAATCTAGAGCACTGAACTTAAAATAGTAAGATCTTTGACGATTCACAAACAGTCTTATTTTCAGAAATATTACAAGTTTTGGCTTCGTTTTCGTGCATTGGTTTCCCTACCCCCTCCAGGTGCGAATGATTTTGATCTGTCACGCAACACCAAAAGGTGTATGATGAAGAGCACACCTGCTTGGCAGTTATTAAGAGGGGTATATCAAAATTTCAGCTGTTTTAAGGCCTAGGATTTTTCAAGTGCAGGGAGTATTAAGGTAGGATAAAGAAAGATATGCTAAGTTCAGTCAGAGGTTTTGAAATAATTCTCTTGTTTTCCCGAGTTCGATCGTGGGTTGCCAGCCGATCTGGCACAGAGTGATCAGTTGAGAATAACACCAAATGAGGTATAAAAAGTGGCTTAAAGTTACTCAAAAAAGAAGGACACATCGGGGTAATAAATATTCTAATACAACGCTTTCAACAAGTGCAATTGCGAGCAAAGATTCTGTTGAAGGGCGTCAAGCTTTTGTGACTTGTCGACCAACAACAAACTGACGATCATGAAAAAGTCTCATATTTCAGGCGAAATTTATTCAACTTCAGAAGGTTCGTTTGAAACTCAAATTAAATTACCTAAGCCAGTTCTTAAATATGTTTTAGCACCATTTTTAAATAGCTCATAGCTTGAGTTTCAAGTAAAACCAAGGTGTAGCACATGCCTAAAATTTAAAACGCAACTTTCAGCCCAAATTTAAAATACGGTCAGTTGAAAATGAACCCAAACTAAATTAAAATTGTTTATTTTCCAGATTATCGCTAAGATAAGAAATCACCACCAAACTAGCAGTAAAACCCTTAACAAATTGATTTATCGGTGAATATTTTACCCCACTTGCTTCCTCTTGTCGTGCAAGCGAAGTAGTGAGAACGCCTCATTTTGCCTCAAAATTTGGTTGTTTTCAAGTCCCCGACCTCGAAAACTGCTTTTGTCGATTTTGTCCTAATCAAACTGGTCTTTTAAAAAAAACTACACCACAATTAGTTACTTGCTAATACCTTACTATGGACAAGATATGAGCGAATTTAATTTTTGACCGTGACCGCCGTTTGCTCGATATTTACAGACATCTGCTCTTAACATCTCTCTCGGGATCTTCCCGCATAACCGGGAGCCTGGAGGAGGCTAATTTTAACAGAAAGATTGATTCCAAGTTCACTGGAAAGCATTACTATTTATTTGACGATCATTTTAGCTACTGTAATAATTTGAGCTAACTGTGGCGAATGCCATCTAGCCCAAACTCACTAACTTGATCATATTATGTATTGGTTAGGTGTCTTATTTTGTGAGTAATTTAATTACATTCTTGGAAGAGATCTTTTTTTTAGGAAAAAGGCATATACATATGTATGTTTATCTCAATGTCTTCCAGTCGCACAAATTTTCTTTCCTTCAGGAACGATAACAAAAGAAACAGGGGCACCCAGCGATGGTTTCCTCCTAAATACATTGAAAACTCTTTTTACGCTATCCAGCCGTAGTTTTAGATCTCTAAAAATGCATTCTAAGCAGTGCTTTTAAATTTGTATCTGTTCGGTCATCCTAGAGCAACTTAAGTATTTTACATGCAATTTAACCTTTTACGAAAGTGAGAATTTTTCTAATTCCCCTTTACATCGCATTTTTTTTTCACTATCAAATATAGCCAAACCTGGCGAATGAAATGTGGAAAATTTAACTTCAGAAAATGGTCGGGATTTGATTAGGTAAGCTTCGAAACTTGGACATGAATGGGATAGTCACCTAGAAAGTTTTAGCCGTTCTCAAGTAATATAAAATTTTAGGCAATATTTGCTTCTCTGAACAGACATTTTAAAGAAAACAGTCATTGGATACCTCTGAAAAAATTCGCAAAAACTTTTGTTACTTCCGACTGCTCGAAATTTAGTTCCAGCCCCTGGGGCGTTTTGAGTTTCAACTAATGATCTTTTTAAACAGACAAAATTTGAGGCCGTCAAGCAGAGCATTTCGTCGCGAGTTTTGCGCAGAATTAAAGCTTGTGTTGACGAATTTCGACCGAAATTATTTTGAAGGATTCTGGAGGACAGCAAGCAAAACAAACACGCAAATCGAGGTAGGAAACAGTAGGAATCTTTTTATGCAATCCACCGAGTCGCGATCAGCTATGTCTGCCACACACGTTATTCAAGCGCAGTAAATTCGAAGTGAATTAGGTTTCTTCCTCCAAAGCCTTGTTTTCTTATGACTTCTACCAGTAAATTAATGCTCTTGCTTGTTTTTAACTCGATATTTGGCCAATAAACTAAAAAAATAAAACCTATTTCGAAAGTAAACAGCAGACCACGAGGTGACGCCGGAGATTTGAAAGTAAGAAATTCCTCATCTTTCTATTGTGTAAAATAGTGATAAAAGACCCTACAAAATAAATGCTGAAAACGTTTCATTTGGGCAGTGCTGACACAGATACACTATAGTCATTAGAAAAAGATATAGAAAGCACACCCAATAATTATGTTCTTGTTTCTTATAATTACTTGTTCTTGTATCGATGCAGTGTTACACTTAGCAATGTTTGGTACAGCAAGGTGCCTGAAAAATGACAATTTGTTTGGTTGCTGCAATAATTTTAACACATACTACATAATTTTGGTAAACGTTTTGAAGTGGATCTCACAATTTTACCACAATTTTTTAAGAAGTATTGCATAGTGGAACAAGTATCTGTCGTGTTGCAGATTTAGCCATATTATGAGAAAAATGTAACACAAAAACATTGCCTTGCAAAACACCGTATTTACAAAGTTGTGGCTCTCTAAACAACCAACTACTCTGTAGCAGCAGCAAGTTTCCTTTAAGCAAAATACTGTCTTGAAAGCAAAAACAATAACAATGGTCGTCTCAGGAAGACCCACTGTATTCTATCATTAGATGTGTCCCGTAAATGTTCTAAACCATGGTGTAACGTACCATTCAACAGTAGTTAATTTAGAGCAATATTCTCCTGCGAATAGGAGAGACAATTAAAAATATTTGCCCAGAGTAAAGTCTTTCAGCACATAAGTAGTTGGAGTGGATCCTTTGAACAGGCAAAGATGTTGCTTGCGCTGCAAGCCAAACAGAGAGGGAATTTCTGCAAACATATGCTTCCCTACTATCTCCACACTATGGACAACAATTCCAGGGTTAAGAGTTCCATTGTCACCGCACCATGAGGCCATGATGTTAGCTATGGACAAAGTCTGGAGCCCATTGTGGAGCCATACCTTTCACCACCAACTACTAAAGATTTGTACTTTTTGTAGTGTAGCCAGTTTAAGTGTTGCATCTGTCACTTTTGGATAAAGGGTAAGGTATACTGAAAGCAATATTCTTAGTTGATCTTAGTCAAGACTTCCCAACTTGTAAGAGGATTCAAGACAAACATGTCAACTCAGTCCATAGGGATTCGTGCACATTTCAGTCATTTCAGCTTGACAAAACCAAAGCAAGTCTTCCTCAAAACTTTGCATTTCTGAAGGGATTTTGCCTTACACAAAACCCAAAACACTACTCCAACAAAGAGGAAACTCTTTAAGTAATTGATTCCGTTATCAACCCATATCTGGTACAGACACCCTAGAAGTTGAAGTTACCACCTACCCATAAAGCAATAGTTATCTGGGATGTTTTTAGAGACCAGAAAACAGAAAGAGTTTTGTCGAAACTGGTTCCTTTAAATATCGAAATCGTATCTGTCCCTGCGAACATGACACATCTTTTTTAGTCTTTTCATGTAATAAGGTAATAATACATACCGTCGCATTCAAATGTATTTATCATGGGTTATGTAACCTTTTCTTTGGGGTGTTACATGGTATGCTGTTCAGTTGCTTCATTAGCGGTAGGCTATATATTTGAGTTGTTCTCATTTATATTCATTCGCGTCTTACGACCGTCCCTACGCCCTCAAAATTATGTCCGATGTTGAAGACGTTACTCCAGCGAGCACAGATTTTCCTAGCAGCGACGTTTTGCTGCCTTCGCTCGCTAAACAACCTTTGTGTCAACCTCTCGAAGCTTCAGTACCAATCCAGTCTTCAGAATCCAGTGATATAGCGTCCGCGTTCTCTCTATTTAAGGATTATTTCGACAAGAAGTTGGGCGCCTTGAAGCACGATATTCAAGACGAGTTTTTTGGCCAAAAAGCTTAAAGAAGAATCCAAGATCACGTTTAGATTCGAAGGTAATAAGAAACAGTTTCAATTCAACTCCGACCTTGCAGAGAAGGTGAAGTCGGCCTCAGTTGCTCTCGGGAAGAGAAAATTAGACCTTGTTAAAACTCACCTGGAAGAACTAGACTCTGACATCAAGAAGCGCAACAAACTTATCAGACTGGCAGACAAGTCCGCCGCCGGTTGGGATTTGGTGAACGAGTATTTATCAGACGAGCTGGCTAGCGGGTCAGAGGACGAAAAGCGTATCCGCCGTGCCGAGCAGAGGGCCCTTCGTAAACACAACCAACGCCAACAGAAAGCGAAGCCATCCAAGCAAGGTTATTCACAACTCCAATCATCTACCGCAACCACCGCGTTTGCTGGCCAACATTCATCATCCTCCAGACCTATTTCTCGTACTTTTGGCGCTTTCAGCAAACCAAGATCAAGTGATATTTGTTTCGCCTGCGGCCAGCAAGGTCATTGGAGATCTCAGTGTCAAGTTAATCCTCAAGCCAGATCTTCAAGCTCGGGGCCGTCCTTTCCTAGTTCTTCTGGTCTTTCGGGCATTGGAGGT